GGATTAAGTGGTTCGGGATTGATGGGGAAGCCGAGGAGATTGCACCAAGAAGAGAGAGACTGCGCCAAAAATTCCGAGGGGAATTGAAGGAAAGGGGTAAGGAGATGAATGCCTTTTTTTCCCGACGAACAGCCGCAGCAGTATCGTTACGAGTATCCTTATATCGGGTCCAGTCGGCACTGGATCGAGTACTCCGAAATCTATTTAGCGCTCGAGATTTAAGAGCGATCAATTTTCTCACTGCAGCGGTATATATAGAGCAATATTTACTATTCTCATAAATTACACAAACTTTGTTATGGAAAATTAAATAATAGATGAATAAATGAGTGCGAGAAACAGGATTGAAAATCAAGACGATTCCCGTTCTCAGTCATACCACTATAAAATTTATGAAAAGAAATTATAGATTCTTCTTTAATTTTATTCAACTTAAACTGTTCTTGTGGCTTTCTCGATATAAACCGTATTTCGTATGAGTTCCGACATAGACAAGTTTTCACGCATCACGCGAAATAGATCGCTTTTCATTAATTTCTTGACATTTCTTTATATTTTTCTCGATATAGCACTTTCTCAGGCGTCGATATTCTTTTGTCGTTTTGCAAAAAGTGTTTAAGGTGTTTAATGAGTGAAATAGTTACGGTAACGGCGATCTTTCGTGATATAATTTCTTTGATAAAAAACTTATAAAGTCAAAAATTATATTTTTCTACGGCTTTAGGTGGATAAGCTTGAAAATAAATACATTCGAAAAAATTTAAACCGTGTGGACTACAAAAGGAATTCAAAGAATAAAATTAATTGAAGATATCTTTGAAAAGTTTGGGAATTGAATCTAAAAAAAAAAGTTTTAAATTTCAAAATTCGCAAAATTTGAATCGATATAAACGAGCGCACAATGACGCAAAAGAATATGTCTGCCAACATTGCGATAAGATTTATGTTTTTCGTGGTTTATATTTTTAGCGTTTTTGATAACTTTGTATTATTTCAACAGTTATCTGTTTTATGTTATCATTAACTTTTATGTTATCATTTTCATATTCTTTTTGTAACAACAATTTTCCTTAATATTAAAGATGAGCAATTTACCTCCTCGAGAGCTTTGAAACAACATAATAAAGAGGTACATAATGAAATTAAACCCTATAAATGCGGAACGTATGGTAAAACGTTTCAGAATAAATCGCGTTTGCGTCGTTATGAGATGTTTCATGCAGGGGAAAAAATCTTATCAATGCAAGTTTTGTGAACAAACATTTACGTAAGTATTTAAGTAAATAACAAAGATTAAATGAATTATTTGATAATTCGACTTCTATGCTTAAATTAATTGATAACAAATGATAAATGTTGCTACGGTCATTTTGTAATCGCCGATGGAATCTAAAATGCCACATAGAGGTGAAGCATTGCAATAATAAAAATTACAAATGTACCGTGCGCATGTGTAAGAAAATTTTCAAAACTCAGCAGGATTTGCATATAGACACGGATCATCCTGAAAGAAAGTATAAATATAACCAATGTTCATCTACATTTACCTATCATAAGTACTTTAAGGTTCACATAAATATACATAAAAGCGAGGATCCACATGTTTGTGAGGTTTGTGCTTTAAAATTACCGGTAGTATTTTTTCTAATTATTTCTTATATGATTGTTTTTTTTTTACATTTCTATAATCATAAATGTGCTGTATTTTAGATTTGCGGCAAACCCTGTCGTACCAAACAAAACTTAATCAGCCACAGTTCGGTACACAGCGATAAAAAGCTGTTTGAATGTTCGGTGTGTGGCAAAAGGTTCAAACATAGAGGGTCACTTCTTAGATATAAGCGACATTCACTAAAAAACATTTAATCGGTTTAAGCAAATTCTCATTTGTCTTCCTATTTCTGTTATATACTTCTGTTTTACACAGGGTGTCTCAGAAATAAGGAGTCGCATTGGGGGCGTAGAATGGATCAAGGGGAACAAAAAAGTCTGATACCATTTTGAGATATTCGCTGTAGTTTTTGAATTAAAAAAGGAAACGTATAAATCAATGTGCAGTGAAGCTGCGCCGCGCGAATTCATAGCACAGCCCAC